CAGAACTTGCCGAGACTTTCAAGAACGAGGCTAATCTTGAAATTGACCGAATGTTCCGCTAGGTAAATGTATCCTAGTGGTTTGGTTCTTCTACGTCTTGTTGTTTATTCCTGCTTGTTGATTGCAGAAAATGATCCTCATGCTAATCATTTCACAGAGTCGCAACACTCTAATGATTGAAGTACATGTAATTATTGTGATAAGCATGTTATTGATTGGAAGGTTGCCAAGGTTGTAAACGTACAATTAATTTCCCTTTCCCTTGAATTTAATTTCTTGCGATTGAGACTCAGGTGAATTGGTGGTGAGGGTTTGGGTAGAGGGTTACTGTTCGATTCTTCTCCCGTGCAAATAAAAAAGATTTTATTTGGTCGACAGAGAAAATTAAAAGATGAATTACACTTTAGCCAAATCTTTTCCGGTGATATATGGCTGTAAAAACTGGACAGGAATAGTGGGAGGCTGTGAGCTGAACAAACGTAAGCCCAATAAATTATAGGAGTCAATACATTTGCACCCTGGGTTAGACATGGCTTCCACGTTTCTTCAAAATTTTTAAGGTAGATACAATATATCATATCATCTATATCATTGTACCTTTCAATTAAATAAAATTTTGTGTTACTATTTTAATAAATTTATTTTTATAATAAAATTTCTATATTATTTTTTATTTTTATATTATTGTTATTATTAAAATCAATTTATAGTGTCATGTTTTATTAGATGAACTAAGATTTCGTACTAAGAATTTTTTATTATATAAGACCTATTTAATCCATTAATTTCTTTAAAATAGAAGCTTTATGGGAATTGATGAAGCCTCTAGATTATCTCGAGCATGGAGGGAAAATCTTGAGCACCGATCCATCACGAGAAACTTATTAAAGCACAAGCAGACGGTATCAACAGAATTAACCTGCACGTAGTCCAACATTAGTGCGCGGGTTGTAAGTTTTTACTTCAGGCAAAGGTCTCTCTAAGTTGATGCAGGATATGTATGGATATGTCACGCCCAAGATGGAGAAGTTGGGCCGACAATGCAGAGTATGTGTGGATATGTTACGGCCTTCGCAGAAGCGTGTCTTATGGAGAAGTTACGCCCCATATGGAATGTAATAAATTCATTCAATCAATTTCTTTGGGTTTTAGGTCCTTTCATGCATTCTTTTATCCAGAAAAATACTAGCGCTACCTTGGCCTTCGCTTGGTGTGTATTTGGAAACCTGCTGCCCTTGGTCAAAACTCAAAACGTAGATTTGACCTGAGAGTAGCTTTGCCTTGATAGTTGAACGGGTTTCCAAAAATAGCGCTAGTCAACTTGTTCCTCCCATAAAGCACTAGCTAGGCACCATGCACTTCACTGAAGTTGTCTTACCTCAGCCTTCTAGAGGCTAAGGCTGCTGAAGTGCCTTGGTACCCTTAGCTTCCCTAGTTTAATAGAGGTTAGAGAATATTATAAGAGATTTTCGATGGTTGACTGCCAAATTGCTATTAACAATAAGATTCATCATTTTGATGGGAGATCTGTGGTGGAAGGTTGCCTGAGTTTTAGGAAGCTCAGCATCTGAAGTCATTGCCTTAGTTGGAACTGGTCCGAAAATTCACTAGACAGTACTGGCATCAAATGAAAAATTGGGGTTGGAGCTAAGTACTCTAGACATCGGAGATTGGACATTGAACAGCTCTAGCATGCTAGCTTTAAAAATCTTTCTAAATTTCTTTTGCTTTACAGTACTCTAACAATTATTTGTGCCACTTGCTCTTTTCTCTGGAGAGTGCTCCTTCAGGACTCTTCTATAGAGTACTAAATAGCGTTAACACCAATGTATGATTCCACATTCATCATCATTATTTAGAGTATTACACATTTATGCATTATTTCTCCACTTCCATGTTCTTGAATTATGTTCAGAACTATAAATCTTCAGGTGAATTATAATTTATTGACAACGAAATATGGTCATTTCTTGCAGCAATAGATGTACCGGAAGGATTTTTGCTTGAGTGGTGGAAAGTGAATTGTGATTTTGCCTCACTTAGAGAATGGCTGAACCAACGAGTGAGTAATCGTGAGAAATCTCCTTCTAGATGGCTTGGTTTGGAGCAGTTCAAGTTGACTTTTTACAAGTGCAATTATGTCTATAAATATGACTGTTCCTTGGTTTAGTTACAGGAAAAACCAAGCATGGAAGCCACACAAGAACATAATGATTCTCAATCAGGAAAATTTTTCATGCATTCAGAAATAAACAAGCAGTTGCTGATTGATTATGCTTCTGGTACATTTCTTTGAGCAACTCATTAACTATATCAAGGCATTTCATTTTTTTTGTAATAAATCAGTGATTTCATTTCTACCAAAGAAAAGGCTTTAAACTGTATAGACATACAGCAATAAGAAAGAAAATCAAAGGCAACCTTCTAGGAAGGGTTCTCCTAATTCCTGGAATTTCAAATTTGATGGAGTAAATATGCAGTTTTACCCCATCGTGGATATGTTACCTAATCACTGGAGTCTTGGTACTTTGCACACCTTCATTCACCTTTCATGCATTGGTTAATTTACTCAAATTTGGATTATTTTATCTCAAGTTTACTGGGATGCTTTGCTATGCACAGTTAAAGGGTCGGATGTTACGCTAGTGTGAGTGTATATTTTTGAGAACTCCTTGCATTTGCTAATACAATGTGCTAACAAGAATCATGTCAATGATGATGGTCAACTGGTCATATATATTCAAGAGTCAAATTGAGGCATTGCCTTCTACTTTTATTCTTCTGCTTTAATTTTAATTGGTTACAATTCTGCAGCAATGAGCACTGGGAGGGAAGTCACCAGCCTTGCATGTAATATTTCATGTTCCTTGGGCTATAATATTAACTGCTTGGTTTGTGTAAGTTTAAACTTGTGTTTTTGTTTTTTATTTTAAATATTATATTACTTAATTTCGTGCAGGAAAGGGGTAAAGCGCTCCTGGCTTTCTCAACATCATCACATGAACAGGGACTACTGACACCCAATTTGGCAAAATATATTCCATCCAATCATCCAAATACAAGTGGTCATAAACCAGAACCTATATTCTATGCTACACTGGGAATAGCAAATACTGGGTCGATTGAGGTAATCATAAGATAAATGGTTCAGTCTGAAACTACACCTGGTGACATATATTATTTACTTGTTCATTGTTGAAATAAGTATGAGAATTTACAGGGATGTAACTGAATTACCTGTTCACTGTTAAAATAAATATGAGAATTTACAGGGATGTAACTGAATTACTTGTTCATTGTTAAAATAAATGTGAGAATTTACAGGGATGTAACTGAATTGATAATGAGACACACACACACACACACAAAGGGAGGTAAAAAACTATCCAGTCTATAGTTGATTCTTGTCATTTTTTAACAGCAAACAGATCCCTGACTTGAGATCTTAGTAAGCACATCCTACTTGTTTGAAGAGAACACACAACTAACACGTTTTCTTTAGGAGATGTAATATGTGCTAAAACTGTCCACATTGGAATAAATATGCTGTGCAACTAAACCAGCCTTGTCCTCTCCATGTAGAACTTTAATCAAAGTGTCACGTTAGGATGTTTTTTACACAGGAAAAGCAGAATTTACATTTTTTAAAAAATTCATCTCTATAATTTTAAACTCTAATTTGATGTAACTCAATTCTTGTAATTTTGTCAGTTGAAATTCAATCTTTGAACTTTGATTCGATACAACTCAATCCTTAAAATTTAACTTGGCACAACTCAATCTCTAATTTAAATCATTTAAAAAGTTGGTACCTATATTTAAAAATATATATATATATAATTATAAGGACTAAAGTTATCTGTTGGAGTTTAGGAACTAATATTTTAAATGGCCAAAACTATAAGAACTGTGTTACATTGAGTTAAAATTTAAAGATTGAGTTTCAACTAAGTAAAAACTATAAGGACCGAGTTTTACCAAATTAAAAGTTTAAAGACTGGGTTAAAACTATGAGAGCTAAATGATTAATTTTTCTTATTTTTTTCTTAAGTAATACATGGTTATATGCTCTGTTTGACTGGAAGATAGACATTTCCTAGCATGCATTACTTGTTACTAACAGTGTTTTTCATATAAAATTAGAAATGTTTGAGGTATAGGAATTCATGAAGCCCATGTAGATGTTTAGCGTACTCCTCTATCGTTAGCCTTATCCTCCTGTTATTTATCAGTTCTTCTAGTTTTGTTAATTGTGTATTAGTGCGAGTAATTTTAGCCCTTAAACATGTTCAGGTGCTGCATTTCTTCTGCTATCCAATAGTCATGTCGTTATTTGGCTTTAGGTTTGTGAGCTGGATTTTGTCATGCTTGTCTCCTTTCAAATCAGTATCACGTGTGTGCGTGTGTTTATTCTACACTTATATAAACTCTGTCAATATTCTATTTTTTCTGTCTAACTATCTCTAAATGCAATACTTTAAAAAAAAAAAAAGGTAAATAAAGTTCTTATTCAATTTTATCTTTGCATCATATATTATGTGTGCTTTTGGTAATCCAAAGCAGCATAAATTGAATAATTCATTGGCATTTGAAGAAGGAATCCCTTGTATGCAGAAAAGCGATGGTTCAACTTCTGAAGCGATAATGACTGATGGTGATACAAGTGGAACAAGTGACTGCACCAGCAACATTGGAAGACTTTCTACTGCTTCAGAAGTTCCAACAGGTATTTTTTTTTAAATGGCATTTATTAACAAAAGTATTTTGGTTGTGTGATAACTGATAAGTTAAATGCAGTTTTTATGTCATGGTTATATAGCATATAAAGTTCTAATCTGCAAGGGGCAACTTTTCTTACTAATTACTTAAGGAGGGTTTCCTATTTTATTTGGTTATCAATCAATATCTCGCCTTAATCTTACATGATTTTCGTGGTTGCTTTTCAAGAACTGATCACTTTTTCAAGTTAAATGGTTGGTATATTGTTTTCACAATACTTTACCTGTTGCTCTTATGATTGTGTCCTAATTACGGAAAATTATGCTTGCAGTCCATCAGTTGGATTCCAATAACGAGAAATAGATCAATATCCTCAAGCATGGAATGACTTCGGTGTTTGCAGGAGTGAATTCGCTTGTGAATATTTATGATTATGGTCTAATTGTCTAATCAATATGCAAAGCCGACAAATTAAGCTTTATCTTATTGGTGTCCTATTAGTTCAGTTTCTTATATATAGACCCTAGCCAACATATTTCTTTCAACACCAATATAGATTGGTGAAAGCCTTCAACAAGAAGTTAAGACTATCTTTTCATAATTTGATGTCTTTAACATGTAATTGCATTTTTATGACCTTAATCATGTAATTGATTTCAATTAGTGAGATAAAGCTTCTTATTATTGTAGTCATAATGATCATAAACGCTCATGCTTTTTGTAATGGAATTGAAACTCATCAGTATGACAAAATGAACCTTTTGTAAAATTTGAAAGCATGCTTTTTCTTCCTAAATAAGTATACTATTTTCATTTTTACATGACTGCCATTAAATTATGTCATCCATGTCAATAATTTTTAACAATATAACCTCCTTTTTAAACAATAAAAACTAAATCAATAATTAAAAAAATTAAACATGACAGACTGATCTTCATTGACGACTGAGACAAATTTAAATAATTAAAAATTACATTATCCCAAGAATTGAATTAATGACAATTAGATCTTTTGACAAAATATTATAAAAAAATATTACAAATATCAATTTAAATGGTTATAGACAAAAATTTCAATTATAGTTAAAAGTTACATTTAAAACTCAAATAACTTATTTTAATTAAAATTTTTGAATTTTCAATCGGTTAAATCAATAACTTCAAGTCATTTTTTAAAAAATTTATCAAAAAATTAACTATCATTGATCCAATTTTTTGATAGGTAGTTGTCATTCTCCAAAAAAAAAAAATTCATATTCTTTCTATGTTTTTCAACATCTATAACAATAATAGTAGTAAATAAATATTCTATTATTGTTTTTTTTAGGCCAAACTTAAAGTTAACTATTCAACATCCACTACTATTGATTCAATATTCTATTATTGTTTGATTTAATTGGAATAACCCTCTTAATTTTTTATTTTTTATTTTTTGCCATTCATGTAGATTTAACTTTAAATTTTCATGTTTAAACGATCATAATTATTACAAGCTGCTTTAACATGAATGAGCTTGGAATCTTGGAATTGAATTCTTTTAAGTGAAATTCAAAAATTATGGTTTTCTTTAATTTTACCTTTTTTTTGCCATAACTTGAAAAAAGAAAAAAACTCTACAGCTGTGTTTTCGTTGACAATTGCCATGCTACGAGCCATGTTGTATGCTACATTATGGTTTTTGAGAATAGTGTTACACCCAATGGTGGGATTTGTGCTCACGCTTCTGTTGCTCTTGGATGCATGAAGAAGACGAAGGCTAAGTTAGGGATTGTTTAGTTTCTGTTCTCATTTTTATTTTAAAAATTTGTTGTGTAATAACTTCTAAAAATTTTTTAAAACAAAATAAAAAAAAATCTGTTTAGTTATATCAATTAAAAAACAGTTTTAATTAGAATTAAAAAATAAACTGATAATAATGATTATAGGCCATTAATGGTAGTGATTAATAATAAATTGGCCAAACCAAAGTAATTATTTTTCAATAATCAAATGTAGTGTATTCTAAAACTAAAAAAAATGAAAACAACTTAAAATTATTTTATTTTTTGTTTTTTTAAATGGAAACAGTTTTAGAAACAAGCAAGTAAAAAACACTTATTCAATTTTAAATTTTTTTATTTTTAAAATAAAAAAAACAGTTTGTAAAATTAAAAAAACAAACAGGCCTTTAAACTCTGTTAACCTGCATGGCCGAATAGTTCCTATTGACCCCCCGAGTGCCCCTTGCAGTGAGGATGAGATAACGTCGTTCGTGGAAAGGGCGTTCTCTACTCGTACCCGAAGTACCAGCTGCGGTGGCATCTTTGCTTTGAAAGACTTACTGGAAATAATTTGGCTGCTTTTATGGTCCGGTTACAGGATGGGGATCAATGCTTTGAAAGGACAATTAGGGGCGTGTTTAATTGATTGGGATAGTTATCGTAAAAACATTATCTAGGAGACTTCAACTGTGATGCGGACAAGATTATCTAGGTACCAATTTATGCATAAAACTAAGTTCATCCTCCAAGTTTGAGGATAAACTCAGAGAGATAGACTGTTTCAGTTTTAGTGAGGCTGTACTGTTGCAGTGCAGAG